CACGTATATACCTATAATGAACTACCCTCCTTTTTTATGTTCAATTATTTTCGGGAGTCCAAATAATCAATAGGAAGTATAAAATAAGAAGAGAATTTTGTTATTTGAACTCTCACAATAAATGGACAGTGGTATTTATGTTTGTTACCCAATGTTTTTGTTTCTTATTTCTGATTATTTCTAGTATCTTATTTTTTAATAAAAGAAGACATAACTGTATTTAGTGATTGTTTCTTACTTCTTTTTATTGAAAAAACAAATAAATATATGTTTGGTAATCATTTCTTTGTCAAAAACCCTACATTAAAAAGGTAAAAAAAAATTAACAAAGATAGATTTATAACATATATATGGAATACCCATCACATCATCAATTGATTTTAGATGGAATCTATATGATATCAAAGACACAAATTCAAATAAATACCTTATCTAAAAATAGAATCAGACCAAGAATTCACGAACAAATTATGTCAAAAGACCAAGCACCCAAATCTCAAGTTACAAAATACAAATCTCAAGGTGTAGAATAATTTTCAAACGTTTGAAGAAGTCTCACACATAGACTAAGCGTACAAATCAATAAGTAATCCTATCCAACTTTGCTTCTTCTCCAACTTCAGTACTCTCTTTTTTTTTTTTTTTTTCAAATAAATATATACAGGACCTTCTAAAACTAATGCTGAAGAAATAAACAAAATTGAAGGACTAGTGAGTAAACTATACACCTTGAAAGAATTAGGTTACTTTTCCTCTATGAGGAATTCGTTGTGATAATGTGTAAATTATCGTAGTTCGAATGCAAGTGTTCTTCATCACTCTAGACCACTATCCAATTATTAGCCAATTATTAGCCAATTATTCAAGAATAGTATGGTATGGGGGAGAGTTAAGGTAAGTTCCTCGAATATATAAAATTATATTGGCTTCAAGTGGAATTGGTTTTGCCACGCATCTTGTCAAATTCATTGTATATGATATATAACCACTCACGTGTCTCTACACGAGTGATACAAATCAAATCATAATAATGTTTTATAAACTGTGTCATATATCAACGACGTTATGACAATGAAATACTCGATCACTCTCAAATATGACTACTTAAACACGATTTTCTAATACATCAACTACACATTATTTAGGCCTATAAGCGTATTACACCCGAGATAGAAATAAACAAATGGATGATTTTTTTTTATCCCTAAAATGATTACAAATTTCGAAGCTTCAC